TCCATCCTCCCCAGTCACCGGGGAGTACTGAATCTGACTGGGCAATACTGTCCTTCAAAGAGACTTTTATTAAACACTACTACGATTTTTACAGTAGTGGGTTCACAAGGATGAAGAGGACCAAGTCCCTATCTTAGGTTTTGCCCAGAAAGCCTCGTATGACTTCCGAAGAGCCCCCTCACCACTCCACCCTGCCTAACTCCCCACTTGCTCGTGATGCTTGCAGCTATTTTAAGAGGAGTGAAAACACTTAATTTGACAGTTGCAAAGCTGAAGGTGGCAGTGCCTGGTTTCAGGATCTCCTGTTAGTGCGGATGAGTTTATCAAGGGGTTTGGGTTTGTTGGGCAGCCAGTGTAAATGACTACTGTCAGACCCTTCCCTCTTAATGGGCAGTGGAGCATGGAGACCTGAGTGGGGGAGGGGGATACAGAATGCGAAGGCTGGGCGAGTGACAGACTGCCCAGGTGAGCCCAGCCTAGTTATCCTGCTGTCCAGGATTGAAACTATTTGAGATTGTTGCCCTGGGAGGTGAGCCCTGTTTATTGTCACTTGGGCAGAGAAATGGAAGCTGAGTGCTGAATATGTGATGACGAAGCTGTAAAAACGGGCACTGGAGAACTTATATACATTCTTTAAAACAACACTGACTCTGTATAGAGTAGCATTTTCCCATATTGCTTGTTAGTCAAGCTATCACAGCTTAGACAAGTGTCCCAAGGGATGCGTGACGCAAGCTCTCGGTGAACGTGGGATTCCCTTCTCCCCTTTCCTCAGTTGAAGGTATAGTTGTGTCACATCAACCTGTACTCCATTTATACCTTTGTGGGACAGCTATTTTTAAGAGTGAGGGGTTTTGTAAATTTAGACACAGCTTTCAGGAAGCAATAAAATGTTTCTGTAATACTGCTAATTTCTTATAGGTGTCATTTTGAATCCCTCCAGTGCTGTTTCTTAGAGTCACAAAGTCTTTTCCTATATGTCTTGGTTAATTGTAAGACTTGGGAAATTGCAAAAGATGCATGGCATTATCCATGTATTTACTTTTAAAACTCCTATTGTGTGTCTAAAACCTTAGATAGAAAAAGTAGGAAATATATCAGAACAGTTTGCATTTTGATGGGGAGCTAAATTCACAGGTATGAAGTTATGGTTGTGGAAGCATAGAAAAGGCTTTTTTGAAACTTTACAGTTTAGAGTGCTTCCACATATATTTGAGGTGAATGAGAGCAAGCATTTTCATTCTTACTTTGCAGGTGAGGAAACTGCTCCATGTCAAAGCTAGTCAGTAGCTGCACCGGCACCCAAACTCCTTTCATTTCTAGTTGCCTTTTCAATGTGGTCAGTGGTAATTGGGGGGACGGGGGACCAGGCGGGGAGACACTTTTGAACCGAGCTTTGAAGGACGTCATGTCTTGGAGTGTAGAGGTAGCCAGCGCAGCTTCCTCAGAAGGCCATGTGACAGGTAGAAGCCTTGTCAGACATCCTCCTCTGTTCACGAGGCTCACCCTGCTACTCCCAGCATTCCTAGAGTCCTCGCCCTCAGGCTGGCCGTGTGTAACAGGGAGAGACATAATGTTTGGGGTTAAACAAGCCCTTGGCCTCGTATTTGTTTTTGAGGTCTAACCACAAGGCCACATCAAAGCAGCTGAGATGTAAACAAGTAGGCTGGCAAGTAGGAGTGGGGGGGGGGGCTCTTGGTTGTTGAGTCTTGGAGGGTAGAAAGCAGGTGAGAATGGCTGTGATTACAGACAAGGTTACAGGGACAGGGAGTTGGAGCACACTGCCTCCTCTGTGATCCATCTTCTGTGGAGCTCTCAGCAGGAATTTGTCAGTCTTTCCAGCTCCGAAGGCAGGAAGTGCTCAGTACTGGTTAAGTGATGCATTTGCAGCTTTTTTGAAAAGATATAAATAGGATTTTTTCCTTCTTAGTCTACCTTTAATGTGAAAATACTTTTAAAAGAAATGTTAAGTCAATTTCAGTATTTAAATTTTTAAAATTTGGATATTGTGAATGCAAAGGTATAGTTAGGCCATTGTTTAATTTCCTTAGTACTGTGGTCATATCACTTGGGTTACTGCCATTGCATTTCAGAGACATTTCCCTCAAGACTATTCCTTCAAGGATTGAAGATGAAAGCAACTGAACTTTTGACTAACATTTTAAAGGACACTAAAGGTCACAGCCCAGGTGATGGCAGTTCATTTACTCAGTTTACCAACCACTCTTCTACCTCTTTTCAGTACAGTCAGGTCTCTTCTCTTTGTCTGGGGTTACAGCTCTCTCTCCAACTTCTGCTCTGCTTGTTATGTGTGGATTTCAGGTGCCAGTGTCTTTTTAATGCAAGTTTATGCAGCACCGGCTGTGTGCAAGGTCCAGGCCCAATAGTGCCAGGACCACGAAGATGAGTAAGAGGCAGCCAGCCTCTCCTGAGTCATCACCTGGTGGGGATCACAATGGGGACTCAAGTAAGGTTCAGACCAGACTGTGCTGGAGGAGTCAGGATGCAGGGGAGTGGGGGAGTCCTGGTGAAACCGGTGTCAAGAGGTGGGCCTTGAAGGATGGGAAGCAGGGGAGGAAGTTTACTATGTGCCAGGTCCTGCTTTAGGCGCCACCTGTGTATCTGTATATTTCATCCTTATGACAACTGTCTAAGGTACATTCATTTGTTATCTGCATCTAACACAGAGGAAACTGACACAAAGAGAAATTAAGTGACTTGCCCAAGAGCACATAGCTCACCAGTGGTACTGCTGGGATTCCAACTCAGGTAGTCTGGCTGCAGAGTCCATGCTGTGGATTGCTACAGTAGATGAGTGGGATTCGGACAAATGAAGATTAAGGAATGTGGACTCTCGGGAGGCAGGTGGGGAGGCCACAGTGAACAAAGGCACGCAGGTAGACCAGTTAGTTAGGGCTGCCTTGCTGAGGTCCTGGGATCCCACATGGACGGGGATGATTGTGACATACAAAGTCATGGGCTGTACGGGTCCCATTGCCTGTGCTGCTGCATTTGGTGGAATGTCGTGTTTATAAGTCAGTGGGTAGTGGTGAGGTTGTGAAGGTTTCTGAGTAGCTTGTTCCCTCTCCTGCATCTTCAAGCTATCCTGAGTGTTTGACATTCATTCCCCCGGTTGGTAAACATGCTCAGGTCTCAGCCTGTGTGCCCTTTGCCCGTTCTCTTTGCTTCCCTCTACAGCTGTACTTCTGGAGAGTTTTCTAGAGGGTCGCCTGTACTGCTTCACCTTTATTACGTCACATCCACTGCTCACCATCTGCCTCAGACCTGTCCCCTGCCATCCCATTGGAACTGTCCTTACCGAGGTGTCAGTGACTGACTGCTCATTTTGGCAAGGACTTCTCAGTCCGTATCTTACCCAGTAGTTCCCAAACGAGCGATTTTGCCCCCAGCAGATATCTGGCAATGAGGGGAGACATTTTGGGGTGTCACAACTGACATCTAGCCAGAGTGCTCTACTAAACACCCTCAGTGCGTAGGAGAGCTCCCATGACAGAATTACCCAGCTCAGAGCATCAGTGGTGCAGAGGCTGAGAAAACGGATCTTACCTGGGCCTCCAGGACGTTTCAAGCCCTCCATTCTTGCAAATTTTCTGACTGCCTTCATAGAATTCTCTCCTGACTAGTCTTCCAGTGAATTCTCTGTTTATTCCTTACCAATCTCTGTGGAGGACTCTTCATCTCCAGCCTTTTGATGTTGCTCCCAGGATTCTTTTCCTTTCTTCACATTCCTCCGGGGCTGGCTCCTCACTCCAGGGGTTTAACCTCCATATCTGGACATGTTCCTCCACATCTGTATTCACAGTTCCAACCCTGTAGAGCTCCAGTCACATCTTTCTTCACCTCGGTGGTGCACAGGCACTCCCAATTCAGCAGGTCCGAAAACAAGGCCTGCCCAGAGTCTTCTGCCCAAACCTGCCCCTCCCATGCTCACTGCCCACCCGCGTCTGCCCACCCGCAACGCTCAGAGCTGCTGCCGTAGCCGTAGCCCTGGTGCTTGTCACTTCTCACCTGGATCACTGCCGTACCCCCACACTCTGCTCTGGCCTCCCAAAACAGAACTCTGCCTGAGGGGCTCTGCGGTTCACAGTCCTCATTCAGGTTCTCAGCTACAATAGATAGAGTCTAAACTGAGCATGGCATATTGAAACCTTCATCTATCCTACAAAGGGGCCCTTGGAAAATGTAAATGGACATTGAAGTAACAGGAATTCAGTGGAGTTCCAATCTCCGTAAATCCTATTTACTTCTTAAGAAATGGGTTCTACTTTGTGTCACTGAGTTTTTCCTCCTTTCTGGAAATGTGGTTGGTTTTTTGGGCACCCTGTGGGGCATGTGGTTAAATGGGGTAGAGAAATCTTGGTGTTCCTGCTTTCTGTCCTGATAGCTTTAGGAGAATTCTGTTTTTCTTTCATGACCTGGCAGCATAATTCTGTGTAGAACAGCAATTAGTTTGACCAAACATCCTTGCCATGAGGTGTCAAACCATTCTAGAAGAGAATGGGGGTGGGGCCAGTCTGTTTTCTAGTGTTTTTCATGGCGTTCAGGAGAGCCTAAACTCTGGTAAGGGCTTTGAGGACCATGTTGGAGCTACCTCATGAACTGGTTGGTTAAGTAGCTTCATCGTATTATTTCCTAGTTCATTACGCCCATGTCTTGGGAAAACCTCATACTCCACTATTGCAAGTACTGACATACAGCTCATTGCTCTGTGAAGGATTTGGACTTTTTGAAGCTTATTGGTATATTTTTCCACAGATAACAAATATGAGAAAATAAACTCCCTTGGCATAACACCATAGCAGAGAAAATGGTAAATGTTTTCTAATCATGTCTGGTATTATTCCAGTGGTGGGAATCTTGTACCTTTGACATGAATGGTGCCTGTGGGATGGTACCGGTAGCTTTGATCTCTGACTTGGTGTCAGCTGGACTCGCACGTCCTGCGTGTTGAATCGCTGTCCTTTTGTGTTTCTCCCCAGAAGCCCCTTGTGCCACGCCGCTGCTCTGCAGCTTCGGGAGGCCTGTTGACCTGGAGAAGGACGACTACCAGAAGGTGGTGTGCAACAACGAGCACTGCCCGCACAGCGCCTGGATGCACCTGCAGTGCTTCTACGAGTGGGAGAGCAGCATCCTGGTCCAGTTCAACTGCATCGGCCGTGCCCGCAGCTGGAACGAGAAGCAGTGCCGCCAGAACATGTGGACCAAGAAAGGCTACGACCTGGCCTTCCGCTTCTGCTCCTGCCGGTGTGGGCAGGGCCACCTGAAGAAGGACACAGACTGGTACCAGGTGAAGCGGATGCAGGACGAGAAGAAGAAGAAGTCTGGCTCGGAGAAGAACACCGGGAGGCCCCCTGGCGAGGCGGGGGAGGAGGCGAAAAAGTGCAGGCCCCCGAACAAGCCCCAGAAAGGCCTGAACCACGACCTCCCCCGCCGGCATTCCATGGACCGGCAGAACTCCCAGGAGAAGGCCGTCAGCGCCGGGGCCTACGCGGCCCGCTCCCCGTGCGGCTCCCCCGGCCAGTCCCCGCCCACCGGCTACTCCATCCTCTCTCCTGCCCACTTCAGCGGCCCCCGCTCCTCCAGATACCTTGGGGAATTCTTAAAGAACGCCATCCATCTGGAGCCTCACAAAAAGGCCATGGCGGGGGGCCACGTGTTCCGAAATGCCCACTTTGATTACAGTCCCGCCGGGTTATCAGTTCACAGGGGCGGCCACTTTGATGCGCCCGTACAGTTCCTGCGGCGGCTGGACCTCTCCGAGCTCCTCACCCACATCCCCAGGCATAAACTGAACACTTTCCACGTGCGGATGGAAGACGATGCCCAAATGGGCCAGGGCGAGGATCTGCGCAAGTTCATTCTTGCGGCCCTCAGTGCCAGCCACAGAAATGTTGTAAACTGTGCCCTGTGCCACCGGGCGCTCCCGGTGTTCGAACAGTTCCCACTGGTGGACGGAACTCTGTTCTTAAGCCCATCGAGACATGATGAGATCGAGTACGATGTTCCTTGTCACCTTCAAGGTACAGGTGTTAATTCACCTTGCCTGCTTTCTGTTTGTTAAAAGCTGTACAGCAAACACACGGGATTTCTCTGTTCGGGCTTACTTTTAACTGACGGTGCTTTTTTCTTCTAGTCAGGTGCTAGGTAACATTTGAACACCGCAGCTTTGTCCATTGAGGTGGTGGAGGTGGCGGTGGTTTGTTTTATTCTGATGGCACTATACCAATAGTACAGTTGTCCTGGTGGGTAGTTTTATATTTTTGTTGTACTGTAATTTGAAGAGAGGATTCCTGGTGTATAGTTTCTCATAATTGGGAGGAAATTTAGAGAAGGAATTGCATAAATGTCACTCACTGTCAAACAGTTGCCTTTGAAACCTGTGTTAATGTGCCCCGCAAGCTGTGTATTCTCTTTGATTCTTGGAAACACAGAGTGAGGGAAAGTTAGGAGTCACAGAGGACCACATGTTTTTAGATTAGTTGAATTAATCTTGACATTTATGAAAGATGAGACTTTCAGGATAGCAGCAAAAGGAAAATGGAGGATTATTGAAAGCTCAGACGTTGCCCTGGGGGTGACGGTTGGGAGCTGATTAGTGCTGTGGATGACATACAAGGACTTGGTGACATTTCAGCCATAAGCTGAATGACAGAGGATTGGTCAGTATAAGTGAGAAATGTGTCAACTCATGTAAAACTATTGAATTTTTATAAAGATGGGATACATGTCATATCATAAATATATTTATAACTTTATAAGTGTCTAAAAAAGCCTATAGTAAAAATGATATATCCCACCTATCTTCTTCCCATCAACTCCTGCTGTCTCAGTTCCCAGAGACAAACGCTTTCAAATCTTAACTGATTCTTCAGGTTTTTACAATCATAATTTTAAAACTGTTCTCTTTAGTCTCCTATTTTAGATATTACCTATTGATGAAATTTTAAGGTGGATGACTACGCGCTCTTGTATCTTGCCCTTTCTCTCAGGATAATATATCACAATCTTGGATAATTCATAATTTGTTTTTACTATTTTGAGTATAACTATGTAGTGTTGAGCCATATAGAGTATAGTACATTCTAGGACATGCTTTGTGTTTTATTGAAGTTAATAATTACTTCACATTTTCATTTGCTCAGCCTTTTTTGAATCTTTGGCTAATTCTCACTCTTCAGCAGCGATATAACACACTTTTCAAAAACATTTCCACATATCTGTCAGGCATTTCATAGATTTTTTTTTTTCCCCTAGAAATTTCCCTCATGGAGACTTTCATCTTCTTTCTCCTATCTGTCCTAGTGCACTCAACACCTATACTACATAGCTGTCCTTTTAGGAATTCCTTCAGTTGTTTCCTAGTTTTTATCTTCTGTTTCCTAGATCTTGTGTTTTCTTTTTTCTTGGTTTATTCCCTCAATTTCTTAAGAAACATACCCTAGCAGCTTTCTGAGAAAGGAAGCATGGGAATAGATGTTTTAAGACTTTGAAAGTCTGACAATGTCTTTATTCTGTCTTCACACTTGATTGCTATTTGGCTGGGTGTGTAGCCTTCCAAGTTGTAAATATTTTCTCCTTAGAATTTTGAAGGCATTTCTTCACTGTCTCCTGTCTTCCAGTGTCTCTATTGAGAAGCCTAATGTTATTTTTATTCCTGTCCCCTTGTTCCCCATTCCCCCAAGAGTTTTAAGATGCTTTCTTTATCCATAATATTTTGAAGTTTCACCCAGATATGGGTCTTTTGTTTCATTCAATGTGCAGGGTGCTCTCTTGGCTTTTTTACTTTGTAAACTTATAGTTTAAAGTTAGGAGAAATTTTCCTTTGATTTACCTTTATTATGTGTTTTTTGGTCCTATTGTTTATCTCTTTAATTCTTCATTCTGGAAGATTTCCTTGACCTTATATTCCAGTATTTTTACTGAGTTTAAAGATTTTCTGTGCTCATATTTCTAATTCCCAAGAGCTCTTTTTAATAGTGTCCTTGTTTCAGGGATGCAATTTCTTGTCTACTCTTTCTCAGCAGGGAGTGGTCTCATTCATTTTCAGAGTTTTCTAATCCCTTATGTATTTTAGCCTTTGATATCAGGCAAACCACTCCAAAACTTAGTGGTTTAAAACAGTGATGATTTATAATGTTTTATCATTCTGTGCATTGTTTGGTTAGGATGGCCTCTCACACGCGTCTGGCAGCAGGCAGCCTAGTTGGCCTCGGACGCCTCAGCTGGAATGGCCCATCCCTATTCTGTTTAGCCGTTCTCCCAACAGGCTAGCCTGGGCTCTTCACATGGCATTCTCAGGACGGTGAGGGTGGGGACTACAGTGCCTCTAGAAGCTTCAGCTTGAAACTGAGTAACATCACTTCTATCACATTATGTTCGTCAGACTAGGTTGTAATACTAGCCCAGATTCAGAGGATGATGAAATAGACTGCTTCTTAACGGAAAAAGTTGCGTGGAATGTATGGTCACTTGTGTACCCCACTATTTCCCTTTGAGCACCTCTTCCCGCTCTCCTCTGTGCTTGTGGTCCAGTTTCAGAGCCAAACCACTTACCATTCCTCCCATCCAGTTTCTGACTTCACATTCTGTTTCAGGGTTGAGGTACTGCATAATTTCATGGAAGATGGAGTTAGTGTTTTGTTTCTTGTTCTTTCTACAGTTTGGGGGATAATTTTAGAGGAAAGTAAGTGGAAACATCTCTATGTCACCGTTTTTAGACTGGAAGTATTCTTTATGGAGATGAATGAGGGTACAAGAGTAGATAGGGTACATGAGAGAGGAGTGTTGTTTTTTGTCCTTTTGTGATGGACAAATTCTTTTCATTTAATCCATTCACCAACCAATCAAACATGAATTTCATACATGTGCTGGGTACTGTCAGTCCTTACCTTTTATGAGCTTATAGTCTTAGGATGTAAGATGCTTTTATAAAAATGTAACTAACTACCAGGCCTAAGGCCTCAGTACCACCAGTGGAACTAGTAATACCTGGCTACTATGTGCAGTAAGCATCCTGTAATTTCCAAGGAGGAAGGGGCCACTTTGGCCCAGGTGGCCAGAGACAGTGGGAAGCCACGTATCAAAGGTGGCTGGATTTTGATAAGTGGAGGGTCCAGCCACACCAGGTGTTTGTGGATAAGGAGAGGGAGCAATGTGAGCAAAGGAATAGTGGTTAAAAAAGTCAGGAGACAGTGAGAGAACTGGAGAGAACCATTGGGTTGAGCAGAGGTTCTAGCGTGGAAAATACACATGGCGGATGGAGAACTGCTTGTAGATGCTCTTTCGGGCCATAATAAAGAGTGTGGCCATGTTCTCTATGAATTGCAGGGATTGAAAAAAGAATTTAAAGCAGACAGTTGCTGGGAAGACATGTTGTTTGGAGGGGATGGAACCTAGATACAGAGAGTTGGAACTTATATCTTTAATCTAGATGGAAGGAGATAAGAAACAGCTGGGTGCTGATAGTGGGAATAGCTGCAAGAGATTATTTTAAAGGAAAAATGACTTTGGGGACGACTTGACTGTAGAGATGAAGATGAGTCCTTGTTGGCTCATTTGGTTCTAGATCAGATGCACTGATGCTGTCACAGACGAGTGGAGAATGTTGGGAAAGGGACCTGATCTTGGGGGAAAGATGAGGGCACCGGTGTATATTGGGTGTGAAAGGATGCTGGACTTTGTGTGGAAATGTCTAGCAAGCACTAGTAGTAATAAGCATTGGGGTTGAATTGGGGAGCTTGTAACTGGTGGTTAAAATCTGAAGAGTGGAAGAGCTCTTAAATGGGGAGAAAAGAGAAAGATGAGTGTATGAGCCCAGGACACAAGCTTGAGGGTACCCATCAGGGAATGGATGGAGGAAGGTGAAAATTGGGCCTGAGCACATGTGTGTATGTGTGTGTGTACACACGTAAGTACATATGCATCCACAAATGGATAATGGAGGTGTAGGTGTGCACTACACCTACAGATCAGGAGGTTTTATCAGTACCAGACAAGTCAGTGCCACAGGTGGGGCCTTGGCGTGTGCCAGTGTTTTTATTGCCACAGCTCCAAGAAGTCCATGCATTCTTTTTTATTGCAAGCTAATGTATGTAAATCTTCCATCACAGAGTCCCAACCATGTATCCCTTAAAGCATTTTCAACCCCAATAGAAAGGCCACGGTCCAGGCCACAGGATTCCCGGCTGCAGTTGATTATATGCTGCTGAAATAGCTTGTTATTTCCAGTGCCGGCCCGTGTGGATTGTCACTCCCTTGCCATGCCCCTTACGCGTCACTGCCCTCCCCAGCCTCCAGCTCCAGCTCTCTGACTCTTCCTCTGATAAGATGCTTTTGTTTGATTTTAATAATGTATTAAGACTGATCTAATTATGCTTCTTCCCCACTTAGAACCACAGGTGACTGTTCTCTCAGGAATCTGCTTTTTGTTTGAACTCACAACCCTAAAGTTTAGAAATTTAAAATTCTCTGTATTTAGGACAGTGTATAATAGTAACTAAAACAAATCCTGAGAATCAGTCCAGGCCAGGCATTCCCATGAGTTTGACAGATATGAATTTAAGCCTAAACTTTGCTACTTACTATCTTTGTGAACTTGGACAAGCTCCTCAAGCTCTCTGAACTTCAGTTCGTCCTATGAGAAGTGGGCTAACAATGCCTACTCTGTTGTGTTGTGAGGTTAGGTGAGACGATTCATGTAGCTTAGCAGCACAGTGCCAGGCCCTCGGGAAGCACTCAGGAAGAGTTCCCGGTCAACTGCAGCATCGTGGTCACTGCTGACCTCTGACCTCTGTGCCTGTCCCTGCCCCCACCCTTCCTAGCAGCTTCCCTGGTGTCTGAATATTTGAGGCTCGCAGTGAGTCAGTCTAAGAGGGAGACTGGTAATGAAACATTTTCTAGTGGCTCCCAAATACTTGAACTGACACCCTGAAATGCCCCCAGGCCACTCTGAGTGGGGATGGCATGTGAGCCCTTTTCATTGTCAGTGCCCTAGAGCAGAGGTGGGCCGTATTGCAAGAAGCTTTTGTCACCCCTCCCATGTTCTGCATAGAAGCCTGCAAGGTTATATTGTCTTTGGCTATCAACATGCTCCTTCATTCATCCAGCCGACAGTTAAGGGGTACTTACCACATTTCAGACACTGGGCTAGACACTGAGCCTACAAGGAGGGAGAAGACATATTCCTGCCCTCAAGGTGAGAGAGTCTTATAAGCAAATGCAGTGAAAGGTATCTGAGCGCTGCGTACCCCTCTCCAGTAGGTGGAAGGAGCAGGCTGGGCCTGAGCACGAAAGGTGACGAGCCAGGGGGCTGACTGCAGAGAGCAGTGTGTTCTGGACGGGCAGCCCCGGGGCAGTGTGTTCTCCTGACGGTAGCTTTGAGTGCAGTGGAGCTTCCTGCGCCCGTGGACAGCAGCGATGTTGCTGTCACACGTGCACAGGCAGAGCTGAACATTCTGACTCTTTCCCCGTGATGTGACCCTAACCCATCTACAGAAACCAGGTGGCGTCTTTCCTTTACAAGCATTACATGCTGATAAATAATGGAGGAACAGGGATGTGACTTTGAGGAGCCCAGTAAATAACAAGACATTGAACTCCTTTTAAAAAACCACTTACAAATAGGATATAATTCTGGTTCCTAAATTAGATGTGGTGATGGTTGAGCAGTTTTGGAGAGAAGAACAGTTAACATAGTAATTTGGGCTGTGGTAGACTTCTGCAGGCTTCCGAGCAGCGAGTCCTGCATGGTCAGGGCTGGTTTGGAGCATCTGTGCCTCGGTCATTGAGTTCAGATGTCTGTACTGTAAACCTGGCAGCACTTTTTGGAAAAGTGCATTGAAGCAAGTACTTAATAAGACTGAACCTAAAGTACATGTTCCATTGACAATAGTCGTAATCATCATTATTCTAAAAGGACAACTTGCAGGTATGTGATAAACATCGTCTGTTTTGCTTTTTATGCTTATCCAAATGATAGCATGTTTGTTTGTAACTGATAGATGAGCCCATCTTTAATCCCGTTGGTAGACAGAAGGAGACTTCCTTGTTGGCCACCCTCAGCATTGTGTCTTCTGTGCAGGGAGACTCATGCACCTCTACGCCGTGTGCGTGGACTGCCTGGAGGGCGTTCACAAGATTATCTGCATCAAGTGTAAGTCGCGCTGGGACGGCAGCTGGCACCAGCTGGGCACCATGTACACCTACGACATCCTGGCCGCCTCTCCCTGCTGTCAGGTTGGTATGGGCCCCGCAGCGCAGTGTGGGTGGCATCAGGCTTCCGTCCCCATGTGAACATAGAGGAGCTAGAAGCAGCACTGTGGTGCTGCGCGAGGTGGAGGGCTCCAGTAGTGAGCAGTCCTGGACCCCCCAAAGCCCAGCATCGATGGTTGATGCACTAGTGTGGTGCAGCTTTACTGGACTACTGTGCCGTCAGGAGAAGGGAGGTTGGAGAATAATGTGTGATTACGTGGGGAATATGTTCAGTATTTGAAGTTAAAAAAGATTATAAATGGCATAATGGGATGCTTCCATTTGTAAAAAGTGAACATGCAAAGGGATCTGCTAATCAGGGGTGGTTTCTGGGTGGTGGGATGCTGGGTGGTTCCTTTAGTTTTCTTTTTGCTTACTTCTCTTTAGTGATGTTTTGTATGATTAACATATGCTAAGTTTCTAGTAAGAAAAAACTAGTATTTAAAAGGAAGTAGAAAGTTTCACTTTCTTTAATAGACAGGATTTTCTTTTTGTGTCCTTTCTGTGGGACCGTACAGTTACCCAGGAGCTGCCTGTCATGTCAGGTGTTGGAGGTTGCCCTGAAAGATCTGTAACCCATAAAGGACTGTTAAGAGAGCATCCGAAATTTAGCTGTCATCAGGAAAAGAGGGAAGTGTGAACGCATTAAACAAGTCCATAGGAACACAGAAAACAAGGCAAACTCGTGGATATGCCTTGGTTTATTTCCAAGTGCTTGAAAAAAGCAAGCCCTTGTTTTGTAAGTTCTTGATCTTCACGGGTAGGAGAGATACTTTCTTTGCTTTTCAGTGGCCAAGCCTGGCTATCCATGTAAGTACCTGAGAAATACTTTGTTTACTACATAGCTTTGTATTTTTAGCATTATGGTTTGATTTTTGTAAGGAGACTATCCTTACTATTAGCAGTTTATTCAGAAGATAAAAGGTTGGCAGAGTCGGGATTTTAGCTATACTTTGTCTATGCTAGCGATCTTAGAAGAGAAATACGGTCATGAGAGACCTAAATGGCCATTCATAGCCTGCCATTTGAGTCCAGACAGGGTTGACTACTTTTATGCTGTCCTAATGCATGGACCACATTTCCATTTTAGAAGCTCGCCACAGTCTTTTTCATTGTCGCTTTTTACAATACTCACTGTGCCTTAATGCCCACTCTTGAGGTTAGAGAAACAAAAGGAAGCTGCTCCTCCGTCCTCACACATACACCTGACAGGCTATCTTGTAGAGAAACAAGGAAGGAGAGAATGTTTGGGCCTGTGATCATACACTGTTAGTGCTGGAAAGGACCTAGGACCTGCACGATCTGGTCCTGCCTCCTTATTTTCCACAGACAGTGGAGGCCTAAAAAATTAGAATGTTTTACACAAGTGTGTCACAGCCTCGACTAAAATCTATGAAACCTCTAAACTCCCAGGCTGGTGTTCTTTGCACTGCACCACCGAAAACAGCAGGTTTATTTCCCTACCTGTAGGGAGAAAAGCACAGTGGCACCGGCCACACCCAGCCTATAGGTATCATTAGGTCTTCTTCCTTAAAACAGAGTGAGCCAGACCTTTCTTTTCCGGCCCCCTACTGAAATGGAAAACATGTTTGATTACTGTTTGGCTTTAAAAAAAAAAATCAATTAACTATATTCACTGTAATGAGTGTTGGCCATGACTAAGGAATCAAGAAAAGTCTTCCAACTATGAGCCAAAGATAAGCAATGATTAGTTATTAGAAAGGGATACCAAGTTAAACAGAGTGGTTAAAGAGAAAGGTTTGCTCGGAATCTCACTTTAAATGTTGTTCAGAGAGATTAGTGAGTTGAAAGGAAGGTTATCTCAGTGCATGTAATGGCTAGGAGCATGGCGTCTCAGGTTACAAAACGTAGGCCCTGAAATGGCTAGGAGCATGGGCTCTGGAGTGAAGTACTTTGGTTCCAACCTCAGCCTTTCTACCTTCCTAACTGTGTGGCCTTAGGCATGTTTCTTTATCCCTCAGTTTCATCATCTAAAATGTCACATAATACTGCCTACCTCACAGGAGGGTTTTGAAGACAAAGTCAGGTTATCCTTTTCTGTTATATTTATAGAATGGATCTAAATTGAGGGTCTGTTGTATTTATCATTTCTGGTTTTCACTTAGGGCCTGTAGGTGAGAGTCTAGTATTGTACCATGAGAGAGCAGACGGGGTGTGAATGAAGAGCCTGTGCTAGTGGGTCCTGGAAACCTCGGGATGAACATAGCACTTCTTCCTGGATTGTTAACTTTACTTGAGTGTTTTAGGGAGAGTTTCTTTTTACAGTACTTTTTTTTTTTTTTTTAAGCCTAAGCATCCCAGCTCCGATAAGCAGCTCAGCTCGGGCCGGGCATTGAACTGCTGTTGCTCAGAGCTCAAACTCTTGAGCAAGCTCTTAACCAACTGAGCCACTCGGCCGGCCCTGAGAGTTTCTTTTTATATCAAAGAAAACACAAGTATAGTAAGAAGGAGCATGAGAAATATATATCAATTTTTAAAATAAACTCAATCTTCTGAGAAGTTTTATACAGGTTGGGTGAGGGAAGTCAGCTTCAGCCACTCTTTAAAATCCAGCGGGGAAGCCATGTCCTAATGTCAGGAGGACTTCAGTAGGGAAGCTTAGGGCAGCACACGTTTACAGTTTCTTCCTAGAGTAGGAGAAACCAGTAGCCATGCTACGTATTGGCTGAGAACTGAGGAGTTAATCTTGAGACTGATGATAAGTATTTGAATATATACCTTACAGTTATCTTTTGTTTTGTCTACTCTGTATTTGGTAATAGAAAGGGTACTTGACTCAACTCGGGATCAGTTTCCCAGACACAACCGCCTTGCATTTGGGTGCAGATGACTTAGGCGGTGTTGGGAGGCGGAAGGTTCCGGGGCTCACGGCTCCTGTGTTTCCCCCCAGGCACGTCTGAACTGTAAGCACTGCGGGAAGCCGGTGATCGACGTGCGGATTGGGATGCAGTACTTCTCCGAGTACAGCAATGTCCAGCAGTGTCCACACTGTGGGAACCTGGACTACCATTTTGTGAAGCCATTTTCCTCCTTCAAAGTCCTCGAAGCTTATTGATGAAAGCTTTGCTTTGGTAATAGCTATTTTATTGATATTATTACTTTATTACATATCTTTTCTAGGAAAACATTCTGTGACAGTACTTTCTTTTCTAAGTTAAAGGAGAGTTCCTTTGTGTGTGTGTGCCACTAAACTGGGGGCTGCCCCTTGCCCTCTCTTGACTCCGAGTGTTGTCCTGTGGTCATGACCTGAGCCCACATGGGTAATCCTGTGAGTTTGGGGTATTGGTTCACTATCACTAAGAGCCTCTCATGCAGCTTTGAAGTTGGTGGGGAGGATGGGGTGAATTTAGGAAACTAAGGACATGGTAGGAGTTGGGAAGAAACTCTTACTAAAATGTTAGCTGTCTGACGACCCACTGTTAGATCTTGTTTGGGCCCCGGGAAGAACATGTGACAAGTGAATGTAAGTCTGCCTGCAGAGCTGGGGGGGGTTTCAGTCTGTCTGGCTTAGCAATGTGCAGGCTCACTGACCTGCAGTTTATCCTTGCTGACAGATCCTGTGAAAGAGAACACGAGTACGCTTTCCATCACTGTTGTAATTTAACAGTCAGTTTTCATACTGAACATAATATCCAAATTATAAGACATATGAAAGCCATTGGTATTGCAGGTATTTGCAAGTAAGCAGACCTAGAACAGACTATAGTAACCGAGAACCTGGAAATGATGCACACTGATTTAAGAGGGCAAAAAGGCAGAAAGAGGTGATTTGAAGTTGGTCACATGGCTCTTACGGAGAATCCAGGTATAACATGATTTGGGCAGCACCGATTTATAGAGCTTGCACCCACTGTTGAAGTGCCATTTGATGTCAGATCCTTCTCACAGGTGACTCTCAGCCACAGACCTAACTGGTGAGTTTGAGAACCAATCATTGCCATACTTATCTTCCACAAATTTGCGTACAGCGATGTCTTACCCATTTAATGCTGAGTTTCCAAAATCGAAGATTTGACCCTAGGAAGGAAAGGCAAAAAATTATTTGTGAGGTGGTGAGAAAAAGAGTAATTGTAATAATATTTCTGTTTTAAGTGTGTTTCATTTTTGAATATCACTGATCGTACAACAATATGTTTGAAAATAGATCATTCTGAAGAGCTCCATGATACCTTGTCATTGGTGAAAAAAGATGATAATTTATGTACTTGTCAGAGCAAAATACATCTTGCAGTTCTTTAGATCTTGGTGATTTAAATAGACATATGCCCTGTACCAGTATAGAATTGGAATATGGTTTCTCAAAAATGAATTTGATAATTTCAAATATGACATGCATATATGCTAAAAGAATGCTGAAAATAAAATTATTTTATAGGTAGCCAAATTTGGGGTTATGTGAGCATTTTATATTACTCACTTGGTTTATACCATTTTTTTTTCCCCTCAGCAAACAGTTGTTTTTCCTCTGAGAAGTGTTTAGGTATTATTGCAAGCGAGCTTCAGTTCTACTACATGAAATATTTGAAGTTTTGTTTGAAACAACACGGCCTTAAAGAACCCATATGTTAATGTTCTTCATCTTTCAGTTTGGATGATTGTAATTTGGTTTCCCATATCTAGTTTGGTGTTTGATGATCTGAAAAATATTTCACAGTGGGAGGAAATGCTCAATGCCAGTAAGAAGCAGAAAATGTTCTTGGTATGACAGTATATTTGATGCAACTAAAAGAGGTCTATAGGACATAACCCTTGCAAATTTATCTTTAATACACAAAGCTGTAATTGTGAGTTAACTGTTTCCCTATTGATTCTCTCATGTACCCAAAGTACTGAAGTTTCTCTTGTCTTCAGAGTACCATTTGGATTTTACTTCTGAATTTAAAATGAGCAGTAAAATATTTATAATGCTGTTCTTTAACCCACCTAAATTTTTGTAAAGAAACCTGCTTATATTGTTCTGAAGCCTAAAGTTTACATATAGATTGCATTCAGCAAGCTCCTCAGTCTAAAACTGCTGTGAGTATAGTGCCTGATGCATTCAGTATTTTCTCCTTATGTTGTTTTCTACTCCTAAAAAATAGGTATTGAGGTTTCACTGTAATTGGGTAAAATTGGCTTTGGGCCTTTATTTTGATGATGAAGTTAAGAATTCTATAGATGCTGCAGTTTTGTAAAAGAAGAGGCATAGGTATCACATCTGAGAATATCTTTTGCCTTCAAGGCATTGCATTCTTGTCTAAAATGGAAAATTTGGTTGATTTGAGAATAAAATATAATTGAGTGTGCAATAAAGTAAAGAATAAATCTTATTTTGGAAATCTGCTGACCTTAATATTGGGTTGTCGGAAAAGTCATGACGTATTTTTTCTATGTTTTTCATTGCAAAAATGTGCCATGACTTTTCCAACAACCCACTATTTCCCTTTGCTTTCTCAAAGTACTTTTGCACTGAGTACCTTGATGGAAATTGGAATATTTAAAAAAAGATGATTATTTTTTGTTGTGGTTTGGATATTAGAGGATAGCAGTCACCCAATAGATCCATTTTCTGTTTTTCTGATGAATAGTATTCAGTAATATGAACCACTCATAAGTGACTTATAATTTCAAAGTGATGTTTCATCTACTCTAACTTTTTTATCATTTATTTTTAAGAGTTATATATCTTGAACAAATAAAATTATCTACTTTAGTTTAGTGAGAAGACTTTCTGATGGTATCATCATTTTCTCTTCAGGCCAGTCCAGTTCCCCACTTCTGGTTGCATCTGAAGCAGTTGCTATACTGGGCTTATACCTTAAAAGATAGACATTGGCCATGAAATTGGGCTGCAGGGTCAGTTATCCCATTCTAATTTAAAAAGAGCTTTCCACAAAGTCTTTATTTTGCAGTTTTTGTAAAAGAAGTTCATTTTCAGAGTAAAAAATTTTTTCATATCTGTTTGGGGGAAGTTAACTCACCAAGAAAGATCATTAGTAGGTGTTTAAACCCTAAAACTAACAGATATACTCATACATAACTTATTAGACTACCAAAACTAACTTGCTGAAATCTTTCATTTTGTTCCGTAAGATCAGTGCTTAACATACAGTTTTTGTCCTGTGCCAAGGTCAGTAACTCCAGTTTGCTTTTCTCTTTCATCTCATGGTAGCAGCTGTTGAGGAATTTTAGTTGGAGGTTTGGGAGGCGGTGAGGAGAAAGTGCTCTTGTTTAGTGTTTTGGTTCCTGTAATCGGATGCTGCCCAACTCAACTCATCTCCATGTCCTGTTGACTTTATTATTATTCCAGGTGATTGGAAGAAAATACAATGGATGGGCATCTTTAAAACCAGCTCAAAAATATATTCTTGTCAGTAAAGATTTCTTGTCAAGATGTCTTGGATTGCACTTTTGTTGAGGGAAGACAGTGTAAATAGTTAAAAGAATGTTGATAAAATTGAACATTTGGTTATGGAATTGTGTGGTGTTAGAAAGTTTCTGTTTGTGAAATATATGTATTAAAAATAATAAAATTTCAGAAACTAATACTGTAATGTCTCTTCAGTGTTATCACTTTATTTTTTGTTGGGGTTCAAGGTCTTCGAGCTTGGAATTGTCAGAAAAGACACAAGAAAAGGTTTTGATCATTATTCAGGTAACCACTTCAAAGTCACTGCTGCAGCTAATAAAAACTATTAACTTTTTATGCTGTTTGAAAGTGGTTTGTCACATGTAAACTCACTTTGCAACAAAATAAGCATTCTGTATAACAAAGTTGATTCCATATGAATAATCCAAAATTATTTTTCTGATTATAGGGAATTCTATTGAAAAGATAGATAATCCTGTTCTACGAATGTTTTCTTTGGTCCCTAGGCCTGTAACATTTTTCATAATGAAAAGATTTGATCACATGCTTCTTCATTATAAGAAAATGAAAACTGAGTTGTAATTAAACTTCTTGCTGGCTTTATGCACTGTGATCAAGTATAATTTATAATCTTACAAATCTCCGTGTCCCTTCATTTCTGGGTTTTTTTTTTTTTGAGCCCTAATCTGTTACTGAAACATTCAATAACATCCTGCAAGTATGTTTCAAAGCCTAGATATATGCTCACTGAGTTTTTGTTTATTTGTTTTCCTTTTCACCCATCCCTCCACCCTGTCTCCTTTGGCAACCATCAGTTTGTTCGCTGTATCTATGTGTCTGTTTCTGTTTTGTTTGTTCATTTGTCTTGTTTTTAGATTCTACATATAAGTGAGATCACACGTTACTTGTCTTTCTCTGGCTGACTTATTTCACTTTCACCATATCATCGAGGCCCATCCATGTTGTTGTCCTTCATTTCAAATATCATTCTCAGCAAATGGATTCAAGTCCACAAAATCATTAGAACGCAGGATAAGATGTGGAAATGTGGGTGAGGAAAGGGTCCAGTCTGCCAGTAGATTAAAGCCTGTCATACCACTTACTTACTGCAGACGTCTGAGGCATACGTTTTATTTTATTTAAAAGCTCAAGACTTGGGATATTGTGATTTCTACTAGTGTAATTTATGTCAGCAAAATTCCTTTGCAACTGTAAGGAAAGTATAGTTCTTACTGTAGTAGAGAGAAAAAACCCCCACAAAGTTAAACAGTGATTATAAAAAATTAAGTTTAATGGAAGAAAAATCTTATTTGCTCTTAGTGGTTTCCATTTCTTTAAATCTTGCTTATATTGTTTTGACTTAAACTTGGCAGCAATTACAATAGATTGCTAATTATGTAAACTTTCTCTAGTAAAGAGTTAAATTTTGGAAGAAAAAAGCTTGTCTTGAGTTTTTGTTCTCTTCATGTTCTCGCAGCTCTCCACACCTAGGTTAAACCTTACCTAATGAATGTGAAATATCTTTGAAGACAGTAAAGTATGCTACAGTAGTCGTATTTGAAATAATGTATTTTTAAGGCATATTTTTTCTAATGGCAGAGCCTTTAGCATTGTGAGAATTACTTTAGATAAGCTTGATCTGGCATTGCTAGATCTTAGGGACAACAGAAATAAAAATAAAACACTTTGTCTTTCAGAACTCAGCAGAACAACGCTAATTACATTTGTCAGTGTTCAGATGGGATTGGCCACCAGAACACCCCTTCCCGGTGATGGACACCAGGCCACGTACCTTCTGATCAACGCGATTGAAAATTTAGATCGTATCTTAAAAACAAGTTGAGAACCATCTAATTACATTCCATAAACCTAAAAGGGGAAAAGTCATAGTCACAGAATTTAGAGAGGCCAAAATTTGGAGCCAAGACTATGGTTTTTCTTTTGTTGTTGTTGTTGTTGTTTGTATTCACAATAATATGTTTGTTGAATTTCACTGAATATTGTACTTATTTTAGAGATAAACTGAGGCCCAGAGAGATCGAAATAATAAGTTCACGTAGTCAGTGGCTAACTGGGGATGAAGCCTGGATTCCCTGTCCTGGTCCTCAAATGAGATCAGTGGATGAGCACATCATTTTCAGTTGAGAGGTGACGTTGGGCCTGTTTTGACAAGACCGTAGATTTACAAGGTATAGTAGCCCTGGCTCCAGCAGCACAGGTGTTAAATGGAAATAATTCTGAGAGGCGTAGCTGGGCTTCCTGCATAAGGGCGATGAGCACATTTGAAAGTATCCCCCAATATTAGGAAAAAATAACAAAACAACAGGAACAGTTTTCTAAAAGAGAAAAATAATATTTGAGATCAATTATGTCCTCTACCTCATTTTTCATGCATTAATTTGTGGACATCTTGTTCCCTTTTGTTTGTTAAGATAGATCATTGTTTGAGGAGAACTGTGGGTATAAGATGACATTTTAACAGTCTACACTAGGAATCCATCATTTTATTCACTTTGGGATCTGACTTAGAGATGTTTTTGGATTCAGATGTGTCAAGCTGTCAGATTAGATAGCATGGATCGATCTAATTTGGGCAGGGTTTTCCTTTTGGACTAGCTTTTCAGCTTCTCTTACTGTATTTCGTTTGCAGTTTTTTACTATCTTGTCTGAAGCTCTGGTATCACAGACTTTTTTGAGTTGTTAAGCCTGATCACTGTTATTTCAATTCCATACAACCTTAGGAGGAAGAAGTGCTGGTTATAGGTTTCTTTTAGAGAATTACAAATTTTCATGGTCTTTAGGGTCTTTTGAGCTGATAAGTAGTTACATTCTGAGTCATTGCAAAAACGTGGGTTGGCAATCAGTGCTTTACACTTTCTTGTTATTTTCATCACATTAACAAATCACATATTTTTCTGAAGCTCTGATGACACAGCAAGTGTTTGATGAAGGAAGTAGAGCCAGGTGAAACCCCTCCCTAGGCTGGGATTTGGCTGAGGCTATAGAAACGCAGGGCTTTAAAGAGAGTGGTTTGGGCAAGGAGCAGATGGTGGGAGTCCTGGGGGGCTGCTGTGAATATTTCAAACAGCTTAATGGATATCATAACATTGCCCACCACAAGACTGCACAGGATATCTAAAAGGTCAGTTTATTTTTGACAGGAGTTATGGCAACCTTGGTTATCTCATACTCAGAAACAGCAGCAGCAGCGTATGCCTTTGATGAATAATATATGAGAACACAAATGAATTATTACCTAATAAATGCTGTTTATTTTATACACATAACCTTTCAAGACAGGATAGGGTCATACCAGGTGGGGGGTGGTCCTTGGTCTTTGGTGATGGCAGTGTTGGGAAAATGTTTTTAAAAAGTGCCTAATTTTTCTAATCATTTTCCTTTTGCCTGTGTGATACTTCTGCCTTATCTTCTCTGTACCTGCCCGTCTCTCTTTTCTACCTTATCCTTTCTCCTGCCTTTCCTGTTGCAACAAGTTTATTAACCATTAGAATATGGCAAAAGTCTCCTGACAGGCCCAGACATGAGTTCATCAGTAAATCAAAAAAAGCTAGTTAAGAAAATAGATACCTACAATTGGCATAGAACTAGACACGTTGATCAATGAAAGGATAGAGTCCAGAAGTAGAGCCACACTTACATATACGGTCAACTGATTTTTGACAAAGATGTAAAGAGAATTCAGTGAAGAAAGGGTAATACAACAAGTGAAACTGGAAAAATTTGATGTCCTTGTGCAAAAACCAAAATGATCAACCAAACTTGGATTCATATTCACACCATATTAAAAAGAATTAACTCAAAGTGGACATAGATCTAAATGCAAAATCTAAAAATAGATACATTGGATTTTCTTAAAATTAAGAACCTTCTCAAGACTTGGTTAAGAGAATAAAAAGACAAACCACAGACTGTATCCAGAACATATAAAGAACTCCTAAATTGTAATAATACAAAAAACAAACCACTCACTTAAAAAAAGAGGAGGATAAAATATTTATCACTTTGCCTAAAAAAGAAAAAGATGAACATAATGATAAGATACTCAACATCATTAGTCATTAGGGAAATGTAAAGTAAAACCATAGTGCAATACCACTACACACCTATTAGAATGAGAAAAAGACAGAATACCAATTGCTGGCAAAGATGTGAAGTAACAAACTCTCATACACAGCCAGTGGGATACAGTTGGGCGGTTTCACAAAAAGTTAAACATATGCCTATCCTGTGACCCAGCCATGCCACTTCTATGTATTTACCCAAGAAAAATGAAAGCATGTCTCAGACTTACTCGTGAATGTTTATAACAGCTTTATTTTGTAATAGCCCCAAATGGAAACAACTCAAATGTCCATCAACAGGACAATGGATGAACAAAATATGGAATATCTCTACAGTAGAATTCTACTCGGCAACTAAAAGGAACAAGCTATTGATACGTGCAACAGCATGGATGAATCTCAATTACACTGAAGTGAAAGAAGCCAGAGGAAAAAAAAAGGACATACTGTATGATTCCATTTATGTAAAACTTTAGAAAATGCAAATGAATCTATAGGGACACATCCCCCGAGGGATGACTTATATACCATAAACATTTTATTTAAATTTAAATCCGGAATACACATTCATTTGACAAATTCAGTTCTTTCGTTTGTTTTAATGTGTGATTCCTGCAGTTGTAGGACCATGCAGCCTTTTTTGCAAAATCTTTTGTGATGCATTCTCTAATACTACTTTCCATTTGGTTATCTTTAAAATGTGGTAAGAACTTAAAGATACAGTGTACATATAAAAACTCGGTAGACGTTTGGGATTTTTGTCCCCTAATCTTTTACTGTTTTATCTCTTATGTGTAACTCAATAATATTTTTAATGTGTGTGTAATTTGTCTGATCTTTCCAAAACATCCTACTGAGTTATTGAAATAGTATTTTCTTTTTATAATTCTATTTCATTGGCTTATATACTATTTTTAATAAATTTCATTGTTGCAGTGACAAGTGTAACTGGCGTAAACAAGTTCGGGAACAAACACGATTAACTTTCGGTAAGCACACAAATTTTGCTGCGGGAAACCCAGTGCAGTCCCTGCCTAACAGCTGGGCCACCAGCCACCAGCATTCACAGACTGAGGCCATTCATCACTGTGCAGTTTTGCAAAATGAATTAGAATCAGTGCATTTGCTGGATTGGCTAAGTCGAGGTCAGTTAAGGGAGATTCTACTGCTCCAACTGTCTAATGCTCACTTTCCTCATCTGTAAATATGAAGAATATCGACTTGTGGGTATGGGTATCATTGAGGTATAAGTGAAGTAATGTAAGTAAAGTGCTGACTACAATCCTGGCGTGGAGTAAGTGCTGAAAATGTGCCTTGTTAGGATCATGTATTGTATTTTAGAAAGCATTCATAAAGTTAGGGCAGGAAGCACCTTCTATACTGTCTGACTCAACTTGTTTGTTTTGCAGATGGAGAAAGTGGCTCCACAACACACACCAGCATGTAGGGCTGAAGGTCTTGAGCCTCCCCAAGGGGGTAACCCTAAGGAAACTCCACAGGGAGCTTCTTTCCAAGGGGCTCCTGAAAACCTGGGGAGTTATCTAACACTAGGGGAGGGATTGCAGAGCTTATATCAGACTCATAAAAGAGCTGCTTTGGGGAGCAGCCTTTGCAGAAGGCTGACCATCTCATAGCTATGAACGTCTTTTAAACACGTTTGCTGAATTCTGCTTTTGAATTGCTGGTATTCCTTCACGTAGCTCAAATCAGTGGGTGTGTGAAGCAAAGTAAAACCAGGCCTCAGACTGAATTAAGGGGATGCAAAGGTTGGGGGATGAATAATAGATGAAATCTGACTTAGGAAGGCAGGGATGAAATTTTGTGAAAGCCCTATTGGACTTTTCCCACTTGGGTTTAGCTTCAAACTGAGACTTACACTGAAAAACGTATTTCTTCTTGGGCTGGAAAAGGATCCATTTCTTCCCCTTGGTGATGAAAACAACCAGCTGCCCACCAGTTGCGTTGTGCCGGTGGATTTTTCCATCTGAAGTATGCCCATGAAGTATGGCATCCACACTCCTGACGTAGTGCAGTGAATGTCACAGATAACACTTGGAATGTGGTGGCAACATCGCTGTCATTCTGCGCTGGCCTGATGATGCCTTTAGTGCTGGCGTTTCCTTGTCCTGGCCCTGTCCAGCCTGGGGGATCTAGGTTGCACATTGTACTGGCTGAAATGCTGCCGGGTCGTGAACCCCTGGAAGGCACTTGACCTCAACAGCCAGCTGTAGCCCAAGGCCTGGTCTCAGAGGTCAGAGACCTGCGTTTAAATTGTGCCTCTTACGCACTCAGGCAAATCACTTAACCTTTCAGATCATGCTTTCTGTTACAGCATGAAAACACAAATACCAACTTTCTAATATTCTTAAGTGTGATTTACTGAATTAATAGACTCAATGAATTTAGAAACCAACCCTTCAATGAGAAATAGGAGAGGTTATTAAAGTGAGAAAGTCAGCGATGATTCCATTTATTTGTACTTAAAAAAAAAATAGCATCTATCCCAAATGCCTTTGACCTTTGGTGTTAAACAACGGTGACTGTCTCACTAAAATTAGCCTTGCGCTTGTCATACTCGATGTGCTAATAAATGCTATTCAATTTAGCATTTTATTGAGCACATACTATGTGCAGGTCTAGGCACTACCAGGAGCCCTGGTTATTTGTTCAGGAGGCAGATCATCTTCAAAGCTGTGAACATCTTTTAAAAACCACACCACATTCTTCTTTTGAAGTGTCGGCAACCCATGAGAGGTGACAAGACTCCCTGAGGTGTATACACCTAAAATAGTTCTTGCTGAGAATTTCTGTGTTCATCCGTGATTGTCTACCCTAAGACCAAAATGAAAGTTTAATTTTAGGTCTGTTTTAAAAGAACTAACACAGCATTTAACTTGATAAGGTTTGCATTTTTAGGTAAGAAGAATTGCATTCGATTGAAAAAATTCTGAGGGAAATTTCCCTCCTGGCCTACCTCTCATTTACATTTTTGTCAGCTTTTTAAATACATGTGTGGCGCTTTGTGTGCAGAGAAGCAAGGGCCTTTTGAAGAATTGAGTTTGACTTTCAGTCATTTTCCAGATGTCTTTAATCTGGTGTCTCTGTAGGCAGGATATGGGCTGTGGTTCTCATTCTTTTGAATTTGGGATTTTGACATTAAGCACTTAAATGATGCTTAGTGTAAGAAGTACTAATGTTTTATTATAGCTTTCTGGGTGAAAAACATTGTAAAGGAGGTGACAAGCATATTTCGTTTCTGTTGCTAAGAACTTTATGGTTTAAAGCTGATGTGCATATTTGGATTTGCATTAGTCGAAAGTTTTAAGAAAATATCTCTAGCAAATCATCTAAGCTATGTGAGAAAACTTACTCAGAATTGCTAAGTTCTAACATTCAAAAGAGATGATTTTATCTAAGAAGGATACTATTTAAAATAGTCAAGTTGAAGGTTTTTGTTCCTAGAACTGCCTCTTTTAAGGTTGGAACAAGTACTTTGACACTTAATTTTCTTGGTTTACACATTATTTAAATTAAAAAGATATTCATTATGAGTCTATAAAGATTTCAAAATTTATTATTAAACCCCAAAGAAAGGAAATCAAGTCTTGAAGTAAATGGAGTTCTCTGCTGTGAAGATGTACTCATTTTGAAAGTATATAGTTCCAGGTCAGATTTCTAATATGGTCCAAAGAAGTAAGCTTTCAACTCTTCCAACAAAATACTACTGTCTTTGCAACTGGCGGGGGGAGGGTACGGGTGGGTGGAGGGCAGAGCCACATGAAAATAGAGGTTTATTGGATTGCAGTGTCAGCATTTGGGAAGAGTGATCTTGTTGAGCATGAAGTTGCCCAGACGTGAGGTACAGAGAAATTGCTAGGCTGTTGTGCTCTGGAAATCCTGCGACAGGACTCCATGTAGATAGTACTCTGATGATGCTCTTCTCGAGGGCAGGGACTGTATTTTGGACATCTGGGATTCATAATGCCTGGTACAGGGCCTCACCCATTAGCAATCCGTTCAGTGAACGTGCTGGCAGCTATGCATACCAGAGGCACAAAGGGGCGCGCTTAGGAGTATTCAGAGTGCTTATCTCTTCATCTCTTGTCCTGTAGTACACACTGTGCTGTGCTTTCTGGTTTTGCTTGCCGATGCCTGTTCCTTTGGGGATTTCTTTCAGAAAATCAACTGTCAAAATACTAAACATAAAGAAAAGACCTGAGTTATAAGAACTGACCTCTGTTCTGGGCCATTGGTAAAAATCACTCTCTCTCACATGTTTAGAGTAAAGGTGATCATGTTTAAGATTATTTAAGGAGTTAAGATTCAAAAATTAGAAAATGTCAGAAATAGAAGTTGCCTTAAAAATCCTCTTTCTCAATCCCCTCACTGTGTAGAAAGAAAACAGATACAAGGATTGTTTAGACTTGAGGCCTCTAGAGCTCTGCCATCCAGTGCAGCAGCCACTACCCACACGTGGCCGTTCAAATTAAATTTAAAAAAATTTCAAATTAAAAGCCACATTTTTAGTTTTCAATAGCTGTGCACGGCTAGTGGCTATCATGTATGATAGTGCCATTTATAAAACAGTTCCATCATTAAAGAAAGTTCTCCTAGACTGTGCTAGACTAGATTTTTTCACCAAAGCGCTTTCCTCTCCATTGTGAAACCCTTAATGAATGGTCACCTGATGATTGTCCCCTAACACTATCATATGTTTCAATAAATGATTTAAAATTGGAAACAATGTGTGGAATGATTTTGTAACTTACTGTTTTTGGTTATCCTAGGATGGAGGTGTACCCAGGAAACTCATGGAGTATATGTGGTTCATTCAGTGTGTGTTGATCAACAGCCTTAATAAGCATCCACAGAGCCATGTCCCTGACAGAGTGGAAAAGGGCTTGTTGAGCAACATAGTACTGGAAGTCCTAGCCAGAGCAATCAGGCAAGAGAAAGAAATAAAAGGCATCTAAATTGGGAATGAAGAAGTAAATTTTCACTTTGCAGATGACATGATTCTTTATATAGAAAACCTTAAATACACACACACACACACACACACACACAAAACTGTTAGAAAAAAATAAATACAGTAAAGTTGCAGGATACAAAATCAATGTATGGAAAACCATTGTGTTCCTATATACTAACAATGAAATTTCAGAAAAAGAAATGAAAAAAACTGTTTGCAACTGCAATTAAAAGAATAAAATACCTAGGAATAAACTTAACAAAGGTTGTGAAGGATCTATACATTGAAAACTAGAAGACATTATTAAAAGCAATTGAAAACACAAAGAAATGGAAATATATTCCATATTCATGAATTGGAAGAATCAACATAGTTAAAATGGCCATATCACCTAAAGCAATATAGAGCTTTAATGCAATCCCCATCAAAATCCTAATGGCATTTTGAAAAGAAATAGAACAAAAAAGTCATCAGGCTTGTATACAGTTACAAAAGATCCCAAATAGCCAAAGCAATCCTGAGAAAAAAGAACACTTTTTTCACACTCCCTGACTTCAAATTATACTACAGAGCAACAGTGATCAAAACAACATGATAGTGGCAGAAAGCAGACACACGGACCAATGGGATAGAATTGAGAACCCAGAAATGAACCCACATATATATGGGCAAATAATCTTCAATGAAGGAGCCATAAACATGCAATGGAAGAAAGAAAACCTCTTTAATAAATGGTGCTGGGAAAATTGGAAAGCCACATGCAAAAGAATGAAACTAGACTACTGTCACTGCACACAAAAATTAACTCAAAATAGATCAAAGACCTAAATATAAAACCTGAAACGATAAAATATATAGAAGAAAACATATGTACTAAATTTGTGAACTTTGGTTTTAGGGAGGGTAATGGCAGATTGTAGGGACCGTCCACATTCCTTCCTCATGGCCTCTTCCTCCATCTCCAAAGCCAGCAATGGAGGGTTGAGTCCTTACGTTGCATCACTTTGACATCATTTTCTGCCTCCCTCTTCCACTCTTAACAACCTTCGAGAGAAGATTGGACCTACCCAATAATCCAGCATAATATCCCTATTTTAAGGTTAACTGATTAGCAATCTTGATTCCATCTGCAACCTTAATTCTCCTTTGCCGTAGGACATACTCCCAGGTTCAGGGGACTAGGACATGGACATCTTTGGTGGGGGGCTATTATTCTGCTTACCATACCCCTTTAGGGAACTACCTCTTCTACTTGTTGCTGTTCTCTTTGCCTGATTACTGCCCCCCCGACCCACGGCACCCCCAGTTATCTGCACATTATGCCCTCTTGTCAGGTTTTACTCGTGTTTTCTTTTCAAATCTTTTCTGACTGTTGGAAATTGCAACTCCAATCTAACATTCTCTTTCCCCTTTCCAGCTTTATTTTTTCTCCAGGGCACTTAAAACCAACTAAAATACTTTATATTGTATTTCTGTATCATATTTAGAGTCTGTTTTCTTCACTAGAATGTAAACTCCATAAAGACAGATTTTTGTCTTATTTTGTTCCCTGCAGCATAACACTATCTAGAACATAGCAAGACTCATTAAGGTTTTTTTTGAGTGAATGAGTAGTTTGCATTTTTCATCAGTTGAAAGGATGATTCATTAAATCAACTAAGGAAATCAGTCATTAATTGACAAATATACCTTGAGAATTATGTGAATAAGAAGAAGATGTAAAGCAAATGGTCTCTGTAGTCCTTCCTTCCTGGAAGAAGAAGGGAGTGTCAGGAACTTCAGAACCATCTTAGACCACGACGTGACTGTAAGGAAGCCAGGTGTTCAAGATGATAGGTCAGAAAGATGGAAGCAGCGTAGGTTCCTGAGGACCATGGAGCTGTCATCTCAATCCTTGGACACCTATGTCAGGACTTGCTATAATGTGAGATAATTAATCTGCTGTGTTGGTTATTTTCCTGTGCCCAAGGTCCAGGTTCCATGCTGTCTTCCATGATCTGTGCCTAGGAATCTCTCTTGCCCTCTCACTTCCAGTTGGGTTTGGCCAGTTGAGGAAGTGTGGGGGAAGGAAATGATGGTTTTCTCTGTTCCCTCCCTGCTTGAATCGTCTTGTTTTAGCCGACTGTTGTGCTGTGGCTGTAGCTCCTGCCAATTGCCCCTCCTCCCTGGTGCCAGCTCTCATTGGGCTCCAGTATCACCATGCTTCTACTACCCCTTCAGCATAGGGGTAGCATGGCTTCCCAGTGTTGCTAACCCTAGTGAACTTCACCACTCCTTGTGGGTTTCCTTAACCTCGTGCACACCTCATAATAGTGTCTTCCTTGTACTATGTTTCAGGTAAACCCTCTTGAACGTGCCATCTGTTTTATGCTGGAATCCTTGATTGATAGAGCTTCAGATTTAGGATCTCTGCTCTGTGCAGCTAAATTTAATCCTGACTGATAATAGCCTACAGGGGCCATGTTATTGGAAAAATATATTTAGACCCCAGATTGACATTCAGTTCAGCAAAATGATCACATTGTTAGTATGATCTTTGCCTTAATTTTTCTTTGCAAAATAAAAGATTTTATTTGACTTTCTGTTTAATCCTCTTGTTTTAGGTCTCTCACTAATTTTTTTTTTTATCCTAAACCTCAACCTTATTTGGCACTCTAAGTCCATGACTGCTAGCAGCTGCCTGCTACTTGTATTCCTTTTACTAGTCAGTTAAGATGGTTTCTTGAACATGTCTTGAGCATCGGCCCTGTGTTAGGCCCTGGGGTCCATTGGTTAGCAAGACAGATGGGCCCAGCTGTCACGGAACTACTTCATCTGGCAGAGAAGTCAGTCACTAGACAGATGCTTACTCATGTGGCCCATTGTACATGGGAGAAGAATTGACTGCTACAGGAACGCATAATGGGAGATATAACACAATCTAAGGGATATCCACCGGGGAGTTGGAGAGATGGCATTTAAATGAAAACACGAGTAAAGGCTGAGTAAAAACATAACTAGGCAAAGGTGGAGATGGGATCAGGACAAGGTGTCCTGATTGGGGTGCAGAATTTATAAAGGCCTTGATGAGAAAGAGCGAGCCTGGTGTGCTCCCGGAATTGAGAGCAGCCTGATACAGCTAGGGCAGAAAAAAAACAGGGAGTGGTGGGTGAGAGAATTTATAAGGTCTCTGAAGCTTTACTAAGGATTTGAGGCTTTAGCCAAAGGGTAATGGGAAGCTATTTGTGGTGGCCTTAAGAATGCACCTCACAGACCTCCAGTGACAGGAAGCAAAATCATTCAAGGGCTCAGCCGCCATGTGCTGAAATCCACCATCGTGTTTGCTCTGAGGCCATGCTTGCACACGTTGATCCCAGCAATGGCTGACCACACACAGCCCGGTACTCAAGGCAGGCCTATTGCTGTAAGACACAGGACTCCTGGAAGCTGTCTTCAGCTCAAGAAGCCCTTTCCCATGGCCTGTCATGTTCTCCTTAGACGGCATGGCAGTCCAGGCACTTTTACCCACCTTCCTTCCCTCACTCCTACCCCCAACCATGGGGTTAGACCGCATGGTTGTCTGACAGCTCTCCCAGCCTCCTCTACCTCCTCCTCTATTGTCTCTCCCAGGCATTTCCCCTTATAACATCCTCGCATGTTTAATCCTCTCTTGGTGTCTTAGGATTTGGACAATACATTTTAAGAGGGACACTAACTAATTGGAGCACATCAGACACAGGCCTTTTAGGCTGAGAGAAATAGAAAACCATGTCATGTGCAGTGTGATTGAAGTACCTTCGTGTTTAGCTAAGATCCTGACTCACACACCACGGAAGGATTCTGAGCAGGAAAAAGCAAGGTAAGTTCAGTTTGTTTGTTAAACAACCCAGAGATCTTTGATTTTTTTCCTCCCTTATTATGCCATGAGTTCACAGAGAATGGCTTGCAGCAGCTCCGGCACTTTCCATCGGTTCTCACAAAGTGCTTCTGTGGGTGGAGCCGCCTGGACGTCCTCCAGCTGAATCCAAGCACCTTTCTCTTTGGCCTCCTTCTTTTGCTAATAATTTTCCTTCACAGGTTTCCGGAAGCTCTCTCAGCTCTTAGAGAGTTCAAGATGCCCTATATGTACATTGATTCTCCTGGCAAGCGTCTTGCCCTTGTGTGTTGACCGCAATGCCAAGAGCATGCTGGGGAACACTGTAGACTTGACATGGGAACACGTGTGGGCCAGTCCTTTCTGAACGGTTCTTAGTCTCTTGATGTCTCCATCACCTCTCTTTTAAATTTGCTTTAATATGGCCAAAGGAACAACTCCATGTTTTCTAAAAGGCCTAGAGAACTTACAGCGGTGCCTCTGCCCTTGCCCTTTGTGTTCAGCTTGGCGAATTCCTGGAAGGTGGAGGTTCTGGCCAAAAGGCAAGTTGAGGTATTTCAGAAAAGATTTGTGGTTGCTGTGATCAATGGGGGTGTGGGGGATGAGTTCGGAGGTAAGAGATGCTGGTGACCGTGTGGCGAGAGTGGAAGTGGAGAGAGATTGAGAATGGAAAGTCAGTGAGGCGTGGTGATTAGGTTTGGTGGGAAGGGGGTCAACTATTAGGTTTCTAGTTTTCTTTCTTTGTTAAGGATTTACTGAGTGTTGGGTCCTCCAATCGAACCTATACTACGTGGCTTACTGCTTTAAGTCCCGTCTTGCCAGTATTCTCCTGGTTACAATTTGTATCCTGGCTGATAAAATGCCAACTGTAGGTTACATTATCTGTGTCTCCTGTGGCCTGGGCAGCTGC